GGGTTGACCATTCTGACAATGACTTAATTCTCAAATATCCCAATGTTTCCTGCGAGAGACACTATTGCATAGAGATCAAGAGCATGGACTTTGGAGCCAGGCGACCTGGATTCAAGTCCCAGCCCTGCCACTCTCTTACTGTATGACCTTGGGCAAATTCTTTGACCTCTCATGCCTCTATTTCTTCATCTGTAGACTGGGGATAATAATTGTACCCTCACCTCAGAGGCTTAAGTGAGATAATGAACATGAAGAGCTGAGAACAGTAGTTGGCATATAGTAAGTGTCATGTAAATGTCAGTATTACTGGTTTTATGTGCCTGGCACCATGCTAGTCATTGTCACGTATATCTCTTGTTGTCTCTCCTCTATCTCCACCACCCCATTTCCACACCTGTCATAGCGAACATTTATAGTACAATCCTGGGCCTTAATAGCTCCCCATTGCCTTTATTTTTTTATTTTTTTTATTTTTTTTTAAATTTTTTATTTATTTATTTTTCCCTCAAAGCCCCAGGAGATAGTTGTATGTCATAGTTGCACATTCTTCTAGTTGCTGTATGTGGGACGCGGCCTCAGCATGGCCAGAGAAGTGGTGCGTCAGTGTGCGCCCGGGATCCGAACCCAGGCCGCCTGCATCGGAGCGCATGCACTTAACCGCTAAGCCACGGGGCCGGCCCCCCATTGCCTTTAGATTAGTGGGTAAGAGAATGGCTTCTAGAGCCTATCTGTCTGGGTCCAAATACCATACTAGGTATGTGACTTTGGACCAGCTACTTAACCTCTTGGTGCCTCACTGCCTTCATTTAGAAAATGGGAGACATTAATAATACCTATCTTAGAGGGTTCTTGTAAGGATTAAATAGGACTATGAATGTAAAACACTAACAATATACTTCATACTTAATAAGTGCTCCAAAATGTTAGCTATCATTATTGCTTTCATTGCATGTGCTCAGTACACGTTTGCTGGGTTGAACTAGATATATTCCGGGCCATGTCAAGAAATAAGGATGTAGTTTTTGTAGGAAACCCTCACTGAATCTTCCCTGGTGGAATAACATCAGATCGGCCCCTCTCTCTCCCTCTCCATCTTTCTCTCTCTCCCTCACACACACAGAATTCTAAAATCTGCCTCAAACTTGCTATGCATTATTCACTGACAATCTGTATTTCGCTTCCTTTGAACAGTGAAAAAGCCTGTGTCAATTTATCTTTTAAAGCTGCTTCTTGCTGAATCCACGTATGTCCATTAATGGTGACTTTGGATGGAACAGCATCTGTAGAGGCCCGTGTCAAATGATCCCCATTTAACGGGAGCTGTGACTTCCCAAGGCCGCTGCTCATTAGTAGCTGCTTCTTATTTCTTCCCATAGTTCAGACATAAGACGAAAATGAAAGAGCTTTTTACAAAGACTCTACTGAGGTGGCTGCAAAAGTGAGCATCTGAGCCTGGTATGAGAGAAGGAAAGGGAGCTTGGCAGAGGCACCAAAGAGGAGACACAGGTACCACGTTGCCTGGATTCCAAGATGTACTTCTCCTTTTCACATTTTAATGTTTCTGAAATTGGAATGTGTCTTCATTCCTTGTATAAATTTCAAGCAGTGTCTTTTTCCCCCAACCTGAAAAGTTGTCATTAAATTGATGGCACATCTTTAAAACCGAGGCAATGTGGCACTTTTGAATTTAAAAAAGTTGCCCAAATATAAGAAAGCCTGCATTAACTTTTGAGAGAAATGCTCAAAGCCAGCTTAGAGGTGGATGAGACAACTCTTGACCACAGGGAAGAAAACAGGCCTGAAGGACAGACGTCCGAGGAATCAGTGGCCCTGCTATCCTTGGTCAGGCAGAACCCTGGCTGGCTTGGAATTGGTACCCACTCGTGGCAATAACCCAGTCAGAGCATAAATACCTGAGGTGTGTCCCAACCCATTTCTAAAGGTGCTTGGTGGGGAAGGAACTCTGGGGCTTGTTTATTCTTTCTTTGACCGAGAACCGCTATTGTTCTTTGAGCTTTTTTTTTTTTTTTTTT